TTGTACGCTCCGGCCTTCTTCAGGTGGTTGGAATGTCGAACTGAACCCTTTATTTCGCTCACCGGGGTAGACTGTTCTAGTTCCACGTACCATGTTTGATGGATGTCAGTTATCAGTTATCTCCTGTTAATTTCCCCCTGAAAGTTCTCCACTGAACAGTACCTTTTTATAGCAAACTGTCCCTTATATTATTGCCAACTAAGACTTTTTACATTTACATAAGTATCGAATTAATCGTTTTAAGTAACGCGGTTAATCAGGATAAGCGTAATTTGTTGCGTGTACAAAGCCCTATATACCCATCATGACGCCCAGTATGAGTTTTTTTTTTCTTGCAGGCGGGGTCTAGTTAGAAATACTTTCAGGTCGGTCAACCTTATCCGCTCGGATGATTTCTGATTGAGAGTGTTCCCAAATCGCTTTGGTTGACTCATCCATAAACTTAACAAAATAAGACCATTCCTTACCTGACTTTTCTTTCTTCATGGAGCGGAAGCTTTATATGATATCAGCTCCGTCGGTTTTTAGACTTACCGAAAGATTTGACTCTACGAAGGTTACTGTTTTGGACAAAACCCCTGTAGTTCCCAAGAACCTTGGACCAGAACTGTCTCCAATTTTGCCAAAACTGTTTAACCTTTGCCATAAGAAGAAATATTTCCCAAGCTCATAGAATGTATCTAGTGTGTACTCTGTGTACAAGAAGACAGGTGAGCCTTTGTCTCCATTATGATATCTCCGCATCAACCTCTTTTGTGTCATTAGCAAACTTTTGAAGTCATCGTCAATAAGAAGTTTGTTGCAATCTTCAACAAAAACAAACTCCTGAGCGACAAACAGTATGGTTTTCGTTTATCTAGGTCCACTGCTGATGCCTTAATTATTATGACGCATAGAATCAGTGAAGCATTTGATAATCAAAACACCTTGGTAAAAACATCTAGATATCTCGAAGGACTTTGACAAACATTGGGGCAAATGATTGCTACAGAAACTTGCTACCTATGGTATCTCTGGGAGATATAGGTTGCAAGTCATCTCTAGGCGCATGAGATCAATGCTGGTGTCTCCCAAGGCTATATCCCTCGGTTTTATGCTCTTTCTGCTGTACATTAACGTTATGCCCAAGAACATTCTCAGATAATTAGTGGATATATATGCAGATGACACTACAGTGTATGGGTGCACCCCCAAATATCTTGATGATCAGTTCCTGACACCTGATCTCTTCACTGACCTAAACCTCACAACTTAATGGTGGAAGGGTGAGTGGCTAGTATCATTTAATACCTCTAAAACATGACTAACATTTAATCACCACCACCACCACCACCACCACCACCACCACCGAGCAGACACTAAACCCTAAAGCTCACTACCGACCTGAAATGGAATGCGTATATTCATGCCATTGCAAAAGATACTAAACGAATGGTTGGTTCCTTCTATCCTTCAAGAAAATACTTCTGCTGCCATGTTCTATCTTTACAAGAGTTAGATCAGACCAAGAATGGGGTATTGCTGTCATATCTAGGCTTGTGCTGTCCTGTCCTCACTGTCCAAATTGCTACGGAGTTCAAATGCGATTACGCGGCTTTGTGTGTGATGAATTATTTTCCACCTTGCAACCCTTAACACACAGGCGAAACCTTGCTAACCTCTCGCTACTATATCGCTTTTACTATGGTAGATATTTAAACGAGTTACATTCCTTAGTTCCACTAGTTCAAACCATCACAACTAGAACTCACCATGTCACGTTCACGGTAGTAAATCAACCCTATTCTCTTCGTGTGGTAAGGAGTAAGTTCTACCCAGACAGATTCTTCCTCAGAACTGTTATATCTATCCTACACGTTCTTATAATGCGCACTTATCACTCCCTTCTAATCCAACGACACTTAGCTATGATGCTCCTCGGTTACACTCGCTCATGAACAGAGATGCACAGTGCGTCACCTCTAGGGGACATATCTAGCTGGTGAGGCAACTGATAACCGAATCTGCCGTACTGAACGGGATATTTACTGTAGTAGTTTTCTTCTTTCTCCTCCCACTTCTTCCCCTCCCCCTCCTTTTCTTCTACTTCTGTGTCATTTGCCGATATCTAGCGTAAGACAATGCATATATGCATTCTGTTTGCGTAAATTCTTATGTTAAATGTGATGTAATATGTGCACTATTTATGTTTCCTTTACATTATAATACTCTGTTAAGAAAATGAGCGGGGTTCGCCACAGTGTATTTTTGAGCCTCTGTTTTTATAACAGAGGCTCCCAGAAATCTTGTTTATATATTTCTTTGTACCTTGCTTGATTGTATCCAAGACTTCAATTTTTACGGGAACAGAAGTAGTGTTAAGATGTCACGTTTTTTCAGCTTCAATTTCAAGATGCTCATAAATATATATTTTGTCATATTCTTTATGATATATTTTATGTCACTGCCATATCTATAAGGCTTACAGCCATATTATATTGAAACATCGGTTCTCGTACGGTCACCAAAGTTAAGAAACATCGAACCTGGTTCCCATCTAGATCGTTGACCGATAGGGAATACTAGGTGCTGTAAGCTTGGATGTGCGGGTGGTGTAATGGATAACGTCTCGGAATTAGAAATCGGAGAGCTGAGTTCCAATTTAAATCGGGTTCGTTATATTCACTTACGCACAAATACCCATTGAAAATGGTATGAATCCAACTCATGTCCCTAGTTATTGGTTAATTGGGATAACTTGTATCAGTAAATCATTATTATCTCCACCACCAATTCTTACAATCTAAAATTTTTTTCTTGCTTTAAATAACCGGTAAAATGTTTATAAACTGTAAAAGCAAATCAATCATATCTATGAGAAAGCATTTTTGTCTGTCATCTTTAATCACTATGTCTATGCTATTAGCTTTTTATATGTCTGTGAGTCTAAATTGCAAGACCCTAAAAAATAGTTAATTCATAGCCTTTTATCATTCATGGTAATGTTCATACCATTTTTCGGCATGTGGCGCACGATAATATTGGTATATCTTCCAGTAAATATACTAACAAGTTTTATGTCGATGTATTTTTTTGTGTCAGAATTGGACAACCAAATATTAAGGGACCAATAATCTCACATAATCTACATATTGTGTCTGTACCGATTTATTATGCGTGTTTTGTAATTCTTGGTGAATAGTCCTGTGTAGTCATTATAAATGCCTACGTCTTTTCTTTAATCCTTGCACTCTTTAGTCACTGATAAGTTATCATCATCATCATCATCATCATCATCATCATCATCATTTTCTGATTATTATTTACTCTTAATTATTTTCTTGATGGCAGATTTTAAAATGCTATACCAGTTGCCGTTGACTGTATGTATTTTTCTGAAGTTTTCTTCTTTCGTCGAAACAAGCGATGGTTTCAATTTGTTGTACACGACAAATTCTCTGGAACTGGAGAATTTCCCTATTCGCTTTGAAAAAGAGCTTCCAAAATGGCTGAAAGGAACTTTGGTAAGTAATGGCAATAAATAAATAAATAAGATAAAAATAAAAATCTTCATAAAACATAAAAACATATAGATCTCCGCTGAAGCAATATTATTCACTCTTTCTGTCTTTACATTGAAGATAAACGTGAGAAGTGGCATATTAATTCCTAGATTGCACGAGAGTTCAAATATTGGTCGAAACGTACGTCGTGTAACAGTTGCTGAACTGAATGATACTGCTTGCAAATGTTGGGATTCAAATCGCTCTTCTATGTTAGTTGATAGAATCTCAAGGCAAGATCCACACAGTGAATGCTGATTGGTTGTTTTTTTCCTGGGCCGAATTCCAACTGGCCAGAGTATCGATTCTTTTAGACCCACCTTGTATAACTAGACAAAGAAAATATTTTTTCGTGAGTGATTAGTTTTGGTCTTCACTCATTAACTGCGAATAACGAAAATTTCCGTCATTGTTTATGGCTGAACAGCTAATGGAAATTTTTGTTATAGAGTTAAGTAATGAAGAATTTCACTACAGTCTCAATTAGATACACTTATATAGTTGTTAGAGATATTAGAACATATTATTTATATAGTAGTTCGATGTATATTTGAATATAATAGTAGTCTTAAAGTCACTTTGGTTAAGCATTTAAGTAGCCATTCTCAGCCTTTTGGCAGGGATAAAAGTGTAGTGTCTGTCCTTTCCTCAATTGAGATGGGAGAAGACGTCCGAAATCGGAGATTCTAACCCTGCGGCAGTACCTTCCTTAAGAGAGATCGGATCGGCTAATATCGACGTCATCGTGACTGTGTCGCAGGGATTGGGCAATTTTTCTCCTTGGCCCGTGTGCATATTCAAAAAAAAAAAAAAATTTTTAAAAAGGACCTCGTATCAATCCCTGCTTTAGTGGAGAGGCCAGGTATAAAAATTACTTACATTGAGACCTATGAGCTGATGTCTATCAGTCAATAAAATAGCAAGCAAATTTCAAGTAGAATTAATTCAATAACGATTAAATCCTCGATAAAATATAGTATATAAAATAATACTTACGACTTGAGTAATACTGCTAATTTATAACAGAGTTTGTGAGAAAGTACACACTTTTGTGAGAGAAGCGGTGTTTGTGTGTGTGTGTGTGTGTGTGTGTGTGAGAGAGAGAGAGAAAGAAAGAGATAGAAAGAGGGGAGAGAGAGGAAGAGTTTGTGTGTGTGCGTGAGAGAGAAAGAGAGAGAAAGAGGGGAGAGAGAGTGAGAGTTTGTGTGTGTGTGTGCGTGAGAGAGAGAGAGAAAGAGATAGAAAGAGGGAAGAGAGAGGGAGAGAAAGAGGGAAGAGAGAGAGAGAGAGAGAGTCTCTGTGTGTGTGTGTTATCAGACTCTCATGCCTATTTTTGTTCGATAGTGACATGTGGTTAATCTGTTTATGAAGAACAACAACGACTTCTTCATTGCATGAAGTAATTCTTTTTTTCAGATAAGAAATGGATTTGGTAGATTTGAACTTGGTAAACACCGAATGATTCACTTGTTTGATGCATATGCCAAGTTGTCCAGTTGGAAATTCAAAGGCGACGGTCAAGCCACCTTTTCCACAAAATTTGTTGACAGTAGTTTTTACAAGAAGTCGATGGCCTCCGGTGATATCGCACCATTTATTACGTTCATGGGAGTCGAACCTCCATTTGGGATTCTAGAAAGCATGAATGTGTTAATAAACGGGCTCGATAATATGAACGTGAATGTCTATCCATATTCCAAAGTTGCCGGAAGCAGTGAAATAAAAGACAGAGGATATTATGCATTGACAGACTTTTGGAAAATCTATGAGTTTAATGCCACTAATTTGAATACAATAGGTCCTGTTCAGGCTAAAATTCCTGGAAAGCCTGGTAAAACAGCACTTGGTTTTCTCTCTTTCATTTCTACGGCTCACCCTCTACCTGAGATTGGTAAGACATCTTCTCTTGTTTTTCTTACGAAATTGAGCCTCTTTCCGTGGGAAAAACATTCAGTGAATCTTGTCCGTATCAAAGCAACTGACGAGCGTGAAATTGTTGCTTCTATTCCGGTTGATCAGCTGCCATACATGCATTCGTTTTCGGTGACTAAAAACTACGCCATCCTCTTTTTTAGTCCCATTTATATCAACATAGTCAAAATTGCGAAAACAGTTCATCCATTCGAAGGCTTGGATTGGTACGGAGATCGCCAGACAGACGTTCATGTCATTAACTTGAAAACGGGGGCAGTGACTAGCATGAAGACAGAAAATACATTCACCATGCACCACGCCAATGCCTACGAAAACGAAAATGGCAACATTGTTCTTGACTTGGTGACTTACGACGACCCGAATTTTATAACTTCCATGACTTTGGACAACTTCCGAGATCCGAAAAAGAGGAATGATATATCCTTCACTGCCAAATTTAAACGATACTATATCGACATGAAAGAAAGAAATGTCACTCCTTATTCTTTTCCGAACGCGAAGGGTCAAGAATTTATGACACGCTTTGATTTTCCGAAGATTAACGAAAAATACCGAGCCAAGAAATATTGTTACATGTACGGGATTGCGGTGAAAACTGACGGTAAATCCCTGACTAAAGGCGCTGTAGTGAAGAAGGACGTGTGCGAAAAAGGGCGAGATCTAGCTTACGATCTTGACAATGTATATTTCAGCGAAACTGTATTTGTTCCCACGCCTAACAGTAAAGACGAAGACGATGGTATTCTCCTTAGTTCTGTCCTTGATGCCAATGAAAAGAAGAGTTACTTGTATATCATGGATCCTAAGACGATGAATGTCACAAACAGGGCCGAACTACCCACCATCGTTCCTTACACACTTCATGGTGGTTTCTTTCCTGAAATACATTAG